CTCAGATTGAATTAAACACATTTCCCACTAAAAGGAACCAGGCTTCCTTGGAGAAAAGGCTGATTCTGGGACTAAGCAGGGATTGTAGCAGATGAGTCTCAACCAAACTCTCATACCAGCACACATGTCAAAGACACAACAGCCAACCCAAAGACTCAGAGGCCAACCCAAAGGCTCTCACATGGTCCAATAATAGAACAATTTGAACATCGAAAATATCAATGACTGCAACAGATTAAAATATCAAGTATATAAACGTCTAGAGCCTATGATGACCCTCTAAAAGAAAAACCAAACAAACAAAACCTCCACCTTTGCAGGATCCCAGGGAAACAACTTTTTTTTGTTTTGTTTTGGCTGCACTGGGCAGCTTACAGGATCTCAGTTCCCTGACCAGGGATTGAACCTGGGCCATGGCAGTGAAAGCCCAGAATCCTAATCACTAGGCCACCAGGGAACTCCCAACAACTCACTATTTTGAAAAGTAGAAATACTGCAAAAGAATTAAGCATTAATCCTTATCTTCTGTGTCAACCAGACCTCAGTGTAACCTCATAGCTGATAAGGGGAAGTTTTTTTTGTTTGTTTGTTTGTTTGTTTTGTGGTACACAGGCCTCTCACTCTTGTGGCCTCTCCTGTTGCGGAGCACAGGCTCCGGACACGCAGGCTCAGCGGCCATGGCTCACAGGCCTAGCCGCTCCGCGGCATGTGGGATCTTCCCGGACCGGGGCACAAACCCATGTCCCCTGCATCGGCAGGCGGACTCTCAACCACTGCGCCACCAGGGAAGCCCCTGGAAGTTTGTTTTATAGAAGAATTCCAACTAATAAACGCAAAAGAAATTATAGAATTAAAGCATTACTGGGAATTCCCTGGCAGTCCAGTGGTTAGAACTCCACACTTTCACTACTGAGGGCATGGGTTCGATCCCCGGTCAGGGAACTAAGATCCCGTAAGCTGTGTGGTGTGGCCAAAAAAAAAAAAAAAGAATTAAAACATTACCATTTGCAGCCATTAATGAAATATAGATCTAGGCCATAATCTTTAAGAGGCTAAAAAATCATGAGTTAAAATGTCTATGGGAAATTTCATAATGGGTGGATCAGACCGACAACACCTGGACCCAGTGGTCAGTCTCAAAGACACAGTAGGAAAGACAACCAGATATGATGAGGCTCCTGATGTAGGGCTACAGGAAGTACAACTCCACATCTCAGGTACTCTTTCCACAAATCCGAATCTGAGCAAGCCTCTATATACACAGTAATTACCACTTTAAAGGAAATAGGATGGGCCAGAGGAATAGAACAAACAGCACAATAGAGATACAATCAACATAAGCCAGAATGCAAACTTCACAGGAAAAAGATCCAGTTTGTTAAGTAAATAAATGGAGATTAAAAAAAGAGGACATTTGGATGAAAAGAGACTAAGATTTCAGAGAAATTAAACTTAAAATCGCAATGAGATACTACCACATGCATATAAGAACAACAAAAATGAGAAAGATAAAAAATATCAAATTGTCTAATGCATAGTAACTGTGATGATTATCTTTTAATTTTTATAATTAGTATCTTCACATTTTTGTTAAATAAATATGGTCTGGGGCTTCCCCGGTGGCGCAGTGGTTAAGAATCTGCCTGCCAATGCAGGGGACACGGGTTCGAGCCCTGGTCTGGGAAGATCCCACACACCGCGGAGCAACTAAGCCCGTGAGCCACAACTACTGAGCCTGTGCGTCTGGAGCCTGTGCTCCACAACGGAAGAGGCCGTGACAGTGAGAGGCCTGAGCACCGTGATGAAGAGTGGCCCCCACTCGCCACAACTGGAGAAAGCCCTCGCACAGAAGCGAAGACCCAACACAGCCAAAAATAAATAAATAAATTTAAAAAAAAAAAGAATCAAGTATCTTTTCCATCTTAGAGTAACCTGTGCTTTCAACCAAAAAGATTCCCCAGCAACATTTGACTACTGACAGTTCAGTGAAAATATAATACCTAGAAACTGTAATAAAAATATTCCCATGACAATAACATCAAAAAGTACAAACTACCTAGAGATAACCTATGTTGCACATCCATGTCCACAAATGTGAAAGGCCTAAACTCTGAACGCTGCAAAACATTGCTGAGAAAAATTAAATCAGGACTAAATAAATGAAGGGATATACCATCCTCCTAGGTCAGAAGACTGAGTATTGTTAAGATGTCTATTCTCCCCAAACTGATCTATAGATTCCTTGCAATCCCAATAAAAATCCTAGTGTGGGGGCTTCCCTGGTGGTGCAGTGGTTGAGAGTCTGCCTGCCGATGCAGGGGACACGGGTTCACGCCCCGGTCCGGGAAGATCCCACATGCCGCGGAGCAGCTAGGCCTGTGAGCTATGGCCACTGAGCCTGCGTGTCCGGAGCCTCTGCTCTGCAACAGGAGAGGCCACAACAGTGAGAGGCCCGCGTACCGCAAAAAAAAAAAAAAATCCTAGTGTGGGACTTCCCTGGTGGTGCAATGGCTAAGAATCCACCTGCCAATGCAGGGGACATGGGTTCGATCCCTGGTCCGGGAAGATCCCATGTGCTGCAGAGCAACTAAGCCTGTGTGCTACAACTACTGAGCCTGCACTCTAGAGCCCACGAGCCACAACTACTGAGCCCACGTGCTCTAGGGCCTGCATACCGCAACTACTGAGCCTGCGTGCTGCAACTACTGAAGCTCATGCACCTAGAGCCCGTGCTCCGCAACAAGAGAAGCCATGCAATGAGAAGCCCGTGCACCGCAACAAAGAGTAGCCCCCACTCGCCGCAACTACAGAAAGCCTGCATGCAGCAACGAAGACCCAATGCAGGCAAAAAAAAAAAAATCCTAGTGTGCATATTTTTTTTAAAAATTGACAGAATTATTCAAAAACTCATGTGAAATGTAAAGGGTCTAGTCTACAAAAAACAACTTTGAAAAGAAAAAAGTTGGAGGTTAAGCACTTTTTCGAAACTCATAAATTTACAGTAATCAAGGCAATGTGGTATTGGGATGAAGATAGAAATGTATATCAAAATTAAAAAGTCCAGAAATAGACCCACACATATATGGACAACTGATTTTCAACAAAGCTACAAAGGCAATTCAGTGGAAAAAGGAGTCTTTTCAACAAATAGTACTGGAACAAGTGGATAGCCATATGCACAAACATAAACTGTGATCCATATAATGCACCACATACAAAAGTTAACTCAAAAAGAATCACTGACGTAAACATAAAAGCTAAAACTATTTAAAAATTCTAGAAAAATTACAGTAGAAAATTCTTGTGACCTTAGGTTTGGTGAAGATTTCTTAGATATGAAATCAAAAGCAAAATCTAAACCATAAATGAACAAATTGATGCACTAAATTTCCACAAAATTAAAACTTCCGTTCTTCCAAAAACACTGTTGAGAGAATAAAAAGACAAGCCATTGAATGAATGAGAGAAAATGTTTGCAATTCATAGATCTGCTATCCAGAATTAAAAATCTCACAAAGGTCAATAAGAGGAAAACAGATACTCCAATAAATAAGTGGACAAAAGATTTGAACAGATACTTCAACTAAGATATACAAATGTCAAATAAGCACATGAAAAGATGTTCATCATCATTAGTCATTACGAAAATGAAAACGATGAGAAAACACTACACCCCTCTGAGAAAGTCCAAAATTAAAAGGACTGACCATACCAAGTATAGGCAAGGCTGTGGAGGATGAAACTCTCATATCTCATACACTGCTAGTGACAATGAAAAATGATTTGACTACTTAGGAAAAAAATTTAGCAGTTTCTAACAAAGTTAATTTTATAACTACCATATGACCCAGGTGTTGCTCTTCTAAGTATTTACTTAGAGAAAACATATGTCTCAGCAAAGAATTATATACAAATATTCATAGAAAGTTTATTTACAAGAGCCCCAAGCTGGAAACAACCCAAATATCCATTAACAGGTGAATGGATAGAACAAATTGTGGTATATCCATATAATGGAATGTTTCCACATTATAGGAAAGGAAAACTAATCTAAAGTGACAAAAGTCAGTAGTTATATGTGAATGAGGTAGGTTGAAGTAGAGACAGAGGCAGGAGAGAGCTAGGTGGGCAGATTACCAAGGAGCACAAGGAAGCTTTTTGAGGTGATGGATACGTTCATTATCTTGAGTGTAGTATTAGATTCACAGGTGCATACATATATCAAAACTTAGAGCATATACTTTTTTATTTTATTTTATTTATTTGGCTGTGCTGGGTCTTAGTTGCAGCACACAGGATTTTCGTTGCTGCATGCGGAATCTTCGCTGCAGTGTGTGGAATCTTCGCTGTGGCATGTGGGATCTTTAGTTTCAGTGTGCGAGATCTTTAGTTGTGGCATGCGAACTCTTAGTTACGGCATGTGGGATCTAGTTCCCCAACCAGGGATCAACCCGGCCCCCTGCATCGGGAGTGCAGAGTCTTAGCCACTGGACCACCAGGGAAGTCCTTAGAGCATATACTTTACATATGCTCAGTACCTTGTATGTTAACCATACCATAATATAGTATTTGAAATATATGTATATATTCATAATTCTCTGATGCAATTAAATTAATCAGGTGAAAAATTCTTACAATTATGCTCTTGTACATTAACAGATCCATACTATGTCATCAAATAACCAAAATAATCATATGCAATAAAGTATACCCAAATATTTAGGGAGAGTTGATGTTCATTTCCTTCTGAAGTACAGAAATAAAAATATTATATCTCAGGAAAATCATAATGATATTAAAGAGGAACTGGTTATTTCAGGGAATGTAGCTGAGTATCATTCTGTTAGGGAAACAAGGGCTACTACAAAGCATGTAGCTGCTGATGGAAATCCCACGTGCCAAACCTCTTTCCCATGATTAAATCAAAATAGCTTCTGTACATTTTGTGAACCTCACAGGAGCTATTCCACAACATGCTTTTATCATATCTATGAACTCACTTGAGCCAGGCGGCATATCCAAAGAAAGATGTCAAGTGTTGAGCTCTCCTGCCCTTGAACTTGGAGTAGAAGCTCCAGCAGCCATCAGGACACAGATGCTCAGAACCTGCCTCCTTCAGACACCTGATATGAGCTCGGCCACCAGTATGAGGAGCTGCACAGGGAGAGACAGATCAGCAATCAGCATGCTTTACTGGTGTAACTGTGTGCCCTACACTGTGCTAGGCACTGCGTTAGAGACAAGGACACTGAAACAACTGGGTAGTGATCCTAACCACCAGAAGGTACAATGAGCTTCCCACCAGGGCCTTTTACTTCTCCTTTCCTCATATGTCCCCTGAGAACAAAGTGGAAAAGGAATAAGAAGTGGCCTGAATTCATACAAACATCCATGATCCTGTGATAACCACAGGACCATCAGCTTATTCACGTGTAATCACTAAATGTTCACAGAGACCCTTTAAGGAAAGCATCCTTATTCCCATTTTACAGAGGAGGAAGCTGAAGCTCAGAGAGAGTCGTTACCTGTCTCACCTATCGCGCTCCTACCTTTAGAAAGAAAGTGGCAAGAGGACACCCCAGGAGCAGGACACCGCACCCACTGGGGCCGGGCAGGACCCCAATGGCTTTGCCTACGAGACAGCCCGGGCACCGAGCCCCCAAAGCGGAAAAGAAGTGACCTGGATGTGGATCCCTTTGTCTCCCCACACTGCAGCATGGTCCAGCCCCCACCGCGGGTACCTACTCTCCCAACTCAGTTCCAAACACCTGAAGGAGAAACCTACTCTCCTTGCCAGGCCGCTTCTGTCTCCATTAAAAAGTCGTCAAGGTCGCCTTATTGACGTCACGTTTCTATAGTAACCGCCAGGTGCAGGCAGATCTTCCACCACCTTAAGTACCTCCCCACCCTCCTCCACCCCCTCCTCCTTAGCTGAAAGCAAAACATCTTAGCTCTTCAGGCTGCCACTTGGAAAACATACTAATTAGAAGCACTAGACTGGGACCCCGGCAACTGGCAAAAATCTCTGTCCAGTTTCGTCGGACAAAACATGTGCTTGTCGTCAGGAATTGTGTTTGCTTTAAAGAGACAGTCGGGGTGTATTATCAGAACACAGAAACCCAGGGAAGTATGGTAGGGCTCTTGGAGATGAGTTAGCCCTCCCTCTAAGGGTGAATGTGTATTATCACAGTCTATGCTAAGCAGTTAGCCATCTGCAGAGAAATAAAAGACTGTCTATAGTCATGTGACTGAATGATTTAGATACATGTACAAAAATGTCATTGAAGAAATCTCAGAGTGATTTCATGGAGGCAAACCTAAAGCATCAGTCATTTAGAAGGCAGAAACCTAAGTCAATTGAACAATACATGGTTTTTTTCCTGGGGAATTCTTATCCTCCATTCCCAATATTTTCTTCCATGTGGAGGAACAGCCATGACCAAACACATGTAACCTCTCTATACACTCATTCCTCTATCTAGAGAATCACTTACCTGATTAGTGAGGTTGGATGAACAAACAGGTTGCACAGCCCAGGCCCTCTCCCTTCAAAGTTCTTGAACCAACCTGCCCTTATGGAGCACATGTTTACTCTGCCCTCAGGAGTGGGTCTACAAATAGATCCACAGCTCCTTTCCCTTTTCTGTGTCTTGCTGGGTCCCAAACTATTCCTATGGTCTTGCTCTAGAATGATTGAGTCTTTAAGGGGCCTTGAAAATACACCCGTTCTCCATATCTTGACTCTAAACCAACTAAGAAATATGAAAAATAAGGTGAAAATACATCAACTTTATTCCTTCTAAAGGTGATATTGTAGAATGTGGCTCATATTTCCACAAGGGAAGTGGTTTTCGTATTAATGAACCCCAGAACTGCACAGGCTTATCCACCCAGCACTGCTGCATTGGGACAGTCAGAAAGGACCAGGACTGCAATGCATATGTCTCTGCGATCTGGTGAAGGCATCCTATGTGTACTCAAGAAGAGTGGCTTCCTTGCAAGTCTATCCTTGTAGCAGGAGAAAGTGTTTCAGGACACCTTCTTTGAGAAACACTTCTTAAAATGAGTAAACACCCCTTGTTCTGACAGCGTACTCACCAAGGCACCTTCTGAGGATACGGTTTTCCACGTGTCTCAGGGAGCAGTTTGTAGCAATACCTCTCCATCCCTTCACAAGCATGACTGCAGTGGAGCCTCATCTGTGGAAAGGAATTTAGGAATAGATTTCTAAAATTCCAAGAGTATGATGAAAATCATACATCATGAAAATTTATCTTGGGAATCCAAGAAGGAATTGAGGAAATTTCAAAAACTATACCCACATATAAACCCACACACAGACTATAGCCAAAATTATAATGACATCCTATCAAACCTTCAAAGATCAGCAAATCCCTATCCTATCCAAAGATTACAGACTATAGAAAAAGAGAGTTC